CTTTATTTTAAAGTCTATTTTATCTGATACGAGTATTGCTACTTCAGCTTTCTTTCAATTTCCATTTGCATGGAATATCTTTTTCCATCCCCTCACTTTCAGTCTGTATGTGTCCCTAGGTCTGAAGTGGGTCTCTTGTAGACAGCATATATACGGGTCTTGTTTTTGTATCCATTCAGCGAGCCTATGTCTTTTGGTTGGAGCATTCAATCCATTCACGTTTAAGGTAATTATTGACATGTTATGTTCCTATGACCATTTTCTTAATTGTTTTGGGTTTGTTTTTGTAGGTCCTTTTCTTCTCTTGTGTTTCCCACTTAGAGAAGTTCCTTTAGCATTTGTTGTAGAGCTGGTCTGGTGGTGCTGAATTCTCTTAGCTTTTGCTTGTCTGTAAAGCTTTTGATTTCTCCATCGAATCTGAATGAGATCCTTGCCAGGTAGAGTAATCTTGGTTGTAGGTTCTTCCCTTTCATCACTTTAAGTATATGGTGCCACTCCCTTCTGGCTTGTACAGTTTCTGCTGAGAAATCAGCTGTTAACCTTATAGGAGTTCCCTTGTATGTTATTTACCGTTTCTCCCTTGCTGCTTTCAATAATTTTTGTCTTTAACTTTTGCCAATTTGATTACTATGTGTCTCGGTGTGTTTCTCCTTGGGTTTATCCTGTATGGGACTCTCTGTGCTTCCTGGACTTGGGTGGCAATTTCCTTTCCCATGTTAGGGAAGTTTTCGACTATAATCTCTTCAAATATTTTCTCGGGTCCTTTCTCTCTCTCTTCTCCTGCTGGGACCCCTATAATGCGAATGTTGGTGCAATTAATGTTGTCCCAGAGGTCTCTTAGGCTGTCTTCATTTCTCTTCATTCTTTTTTCTTTATTCTGTTCCGCAGCAGTGAATTCCACCATTCTGTCTTCCAGGTCACTTATATGTTCTTCTGCCTCAATTATTCTGCTATTGATTCCTTCTAGTATAGTTTTCATTTCAGTTATTGTATTGTTCATCTCTGTTTGTTTGTTCTTTAATTCTTCTAGGCCTTTGTTAAACATTTCTCTTTTTTCTTTTTTTTTTTTTTTGCCCTACACGGGCCTCTCACCTCTGTGGCCTGTCCCGTTGTGGAGCACAGGCTCCGGACGCGCAGGTTCAGCGGCCATGGCTCATGGGCCCAGCCGCTCCGTGGCATGTGTGATCTTCCCGGACCGGGGCATGAACCCGTGTCCCGTGCATCAGTAGGTGGACTCTCAACCACTGCGCCGCCAGGGAAGCCCTGCTAAACATTTCTTGCATCTTCTCGATCTTTGCCTCCATTCTTTTTCCGAGGTCCTGGATCATCTTCACTAGCATTATTCTGAATTCTTTTTTCTGGAAGGTTTGCCTATCTCCACTTCATTCAGTTGTTTTTCTGGGGTTTTATCTTGTTCCTTCATCTGGTACATAGCCCTCTGCCTTTATCATCTTGTCTATCTTTCTGTGAATGTGGTTTGTGTTCCACAGGCTGCAGGATTGTAGCTCCTCTTGCTTCTGCTGCCTTCCCTCTGGTGGATGAGGCTATCTAAGAGGTTTGATGGGAGGGACTGGTGGTGGGTAGAGCTGGGTGTGGCTCTAGTGGACAGAGCTCAGTAAAACTTTAATCTCCTTGACTGCTGATGGGTGGGGCTGGGTTCCCTCCCTGTTGGTTGTTCGGCCTGAGGCGACCCAACACTGGCGCCTACGTGGGCTCTTTGAGGGGGCTAATGGCGGACTCTGGGAGGGCTCAGGCCAAGGAGAACTTCCCAGAAGTTCTGCTGCCAGTGTCCTTGCCCTCATGGTGAGACAGAGCCATCCCCCAACCCCGCCTCTGCAGGAGACCCTCCAACACTAGCAGGTAGGTCTGGTTCAGTCTCCCCTGGGGTCACTGCTCCTTCCCCTGGGTCCCAATGCACACACTACTTTGTGTGTGACCTCCGAGAGCGGAGTCTCTGTTTCCCCCAGTCCTGTCAAACTGCTGCAATCAAATCCCGCTAGCCTTCAAAGTCTGATTCTCTAGGAATTCCTCCTCCCGTTGCCATACCCCCAGGTTCGGAAGCCTGATGTGGGGCTCAGAACCTTCACTCCAGTGGGTGGACTTCTGTGCTGTAAGTGTTCTCCAGTTTGTGAGTCACCCACCCAGCAGTTACGGGATTTGATTTTATTGTGACTGCGCCCCTCCTACGGTCTCACTGTGGCTTCTCCTTTGTCTTTGGATGTGGGGTATCTTTTTTGGTGAGTTCCAGTATCTTCCTGTCGATGACTGTTCAGCAGTTAGTTGTGATTCTGGTGTTCTCGCAAGACGGAGTGAGAGCACATCCTTCTACTCCACCATTTTCACAAAATGCATATTAATTTTGCAATTTAAAAAATAGTATAAAAACATGAAGAAAGCGCTGCCCTTCCCCGTTTTGAACTATTTAACCTTACAGCCATTTGGTAAGGCAGAGTAGGGCAGGAGGCTCCATTGGGCAGGGGGTGCCCCAGAGTGGCCATCGGAGCCTGCATGGGATGAGGAGGGGCCCTGCATAGGCGCATGGGGGTCCCACAACGGGTCAGAAGCAGGGATGGCGTGGGAGGGAGGTGGCAGAGGGAAAGGCAGGCAGGTACTCCCGGGAGACCGACCAAGTAAAGAGATTAAGAATAATCAGAACCAGGTTTCTCACTACCAGGAAATGCAGTTACAAAAATGGAAAGGAAGAAAACAAGAACGAACCCTGTTATATTGTAGTACTGGACTGGAACCGGAAATGTCAGTGTGAACTCATAGTTTCCAATATACATATTACATAGTGAAGGTATAAATATACTAGGAAGAGGGAGACAGACACATGGAAACAGGTTATGAGTGAGTGTGTCTGGTGGGGGGGGGCTGGGTGGGGGGTGGTAGTGTACTCAGATATTCCTTATTCTGTCCACTGAGAGGGCCTGGAGCGATTACATCCAGGAGCAATGAGCACATCAACTACACCCAGCACTCCGATCATGCTTCTAAATACCATTTTCCACTAAAAGGAATCAGGACTCCTAGGAGAAATGTTTGATTTCCAGGACTAGGGCAGGGAAGTTAGAAAATGAACCTGGAACATCTTCTTGTGCCAGAAATCAAGAAAGTGCTCAAAGAATGAGGGGACATGTCAAAAAGACAGACGAGCAAGCTGAAGGGGCTCCCCGTGGCCACAGTGGTATACAACCCACTGAGTAAAACAGGAAACCATGCGTGTGTGTGTATGTATGGGGGTGTACACAGGGAAAACAAGTATCACTACACTGGAGAAGAAGCCTAGAGACACCACCTTAGTCAAATGATCAAAGTGAACATCGTTAGTAATAAGTCGTATCCAGCCAAGTCTCAATCAACGGGATGCAATGAGAAAAAGGCAGCATCACTTCTGTGACATTCCTGCCTAAGATGCAAAAACTCACCCAACCATGGGGATCCAACAAATCCAGGTTGAGTGACAACCTAGAAAATAACTAGCCTGTAATCTTCCAAAACATCAAGGTCATGCAGGTCACAGCCTGAGGAACTGTTCCAGACTGAAGGAGACCAGAGAGACTGGACAACTAAATGCAGTGCGTTATTCTGAATGGGATCCTTTTCCTATTAAAGACATTATCGAGACAACTGGCAAAACCTGACCCGGGTCTGACGATTAGACAGTAGTACACGTCAACGTTAATTCCTGATGTGTCACTGTCACTGTTATACAGGAGAATATCCCTGTTTGCAAGAAGTACACATTTACACGTTCAGGGGTGACGAGGCACCAGGTTGGCAACTTATTCTTGAGTGATACAGGAGAAAAATTCTTTGTACTGTATTTGCAACTCTTCTGTAAGTTTGCAATAATCTCACAATTTAAAAAATTTTAACTGTAAATGAAAACAAAAGCAACAAAGGCAACGTCATCCTAAATTACCAGATGAGTTCAGATTGTTATATACTGGCTTTGTGTCAATCAAGCCCCAACAGTCCTGCTTTAACTGGGGAACCATAAATGTTTCTGATGGGGAAGGGGCTCTGCTTAATCGGACCCATGATGCAATGCTAGCAGGACACTCTGCCTCTGCCTGGGACTGTCTTCCAACCCCAAACGTCCAACCATCTATGGACACAGAGCATCAGCAGTCCCTGCCACGTCCCTGGGCAGCCCAGGCAGTTCCAGACCATAAGCTACGAGAGAAGAGGCACTGGCCTACATCATTCACAGGAAGCGGTGTTCTGACTGGCCTGCTCCTCATGCACTGCTGTCAATGTGAAACAAGAGCTGAGCAAAGTGAAGAAACTAACTTCGAACGCAGAGAGGAGCAAGGGCAGCAGGACATACTCTCACCCCAAAATAACGACGGTAACTGTTACCATCTTGTATTTGCACAGAATTTTAATATTTGCAAGTTTCTTTCCATCTGTAATCTCAAACAATCCATACAAAGGAAAGAAGCTACAGATGCCCAAAGCTCCCAGACTAAGTCGAATTCCTGTGACACAGCACACATACCACATAGAACCTCCTCCTTGGTAGCCCTTGCGATATTCATAACAATACAAAATGTGTGTGGTTATTTGATTAACATCTGTATCCCCCCTTGGATTGCAGAGTCCAGGAAAACAAGGGTTGAGTGTTTGCTCACAGATGGCCCGATGCCTCACAGGAGGCTGACACCAAAAATACTTGCTAAGTAATCACATGGACACACGGGTGGGTGGATAAGATGGGTGTGCGTAGGTCAGCAGGTAGACGGACAGTGGGTTGGGGAATGGATGGGTGGCAGATGAGTAGGTGGATAAGGGGAGAGATGCATGGATGGATGACGGGTGGTAGGCAGGTAGACGGTAGGTAGGTAGGTAGGTGGGTGGGTAGGTGGGTGGGCGGGTGGGTAGATGAGATGGTAGGTGTGTGTGTTGGTGGGGGCGGGGGGTTGGTAAATGGATGGTGAGTGGGTGAATGCCTGACCTGGGTCTGGTCCGCCCCCCACCGCCCAGCCCGGTTCTACCTGCTGCTGCTGGGCCCGGAGGTCACCGATCTCCTTCTGGTCCTCCTCGTGGAGCCGCTTCATGTCCTCCCACGACTGCTGGAGCAGGTTACGTTCCCGTAGCAGCTGTCCGTTCTCCCGCCTCAGCATGTCCACATCATCCTTCAGCTGGGTCTGGTCGCTCAGGAGCCGGCTGTGGAGCGTGCTGAAATCCCACACGGCACAGTGAGCCCAGTCAGCCTCCAACTCCCACCCGAGGCACCAGCACCCCCTCCAGGTCCTAGTACCCCCAACACACCAGACAGGTCAGCAGCGTGCAGAGGCAGGCCAAAGCCTGCTGTCAGCCACAAGCCAGAAAGAGCCAAACTATTTTTTTAAGAGCCTGACACCACAATGGCACACATGTGAAGGCCAAGGAAAGGAGATAAGCCCCTACCTGGCATGGACCTGGCACCTCCAAGTGCTGAGGCCTGGCAAATGTCAGCAGGTGGGCAGGCAAATGCCCTCAGAGGGGCACCAGGAGGCCAAAGGGGAACATGCCCCATCTGCCTCTCCTGTGGCAGTAGAGCCCCAGCAGGGACCCAGAGGTCCACAGTGATCTGCCTGGCCTACTGTCTCACACATTCGACCACTTTCCTACCAACCGTGCTTCTGAAGCTGGCAATGGATGGTATGGAAAACGGAGGCCCAAAGCCACAAACGCACGTGCTTAAGGCCCACCGCTTGCTATGTGGCAGAGGCAGGATGGGACCAGAACCCCAGGCTCCAGGTCCACAACTGAAGACTGGCAAGAGGCAGCAGTTCCTTGCACGTTGGGAACCCTGGCCAGGCAGGCCCCACTCACTGGTAGAAGTCGGTCTCCTTGGCCACCTCCTCGCACCTCTTCAGGGCGTTGGTGTGCTGGTTCTGCAGGCTCTGCAGGTCTGACATGGCCCGCACACACTGGATCTTCAGCCTCTCGTAGTCCGGATTCAGCCTGTGGTAGGGCCTGGCCCAGACGGCAAACAGCCCAGTGAACACTGGCCCCGGGATCACAATGACAAGAATGTCTTTCCCTGGGAAGCCACGTCCTAGGTCACTCCAGCCCAGCAGTTCCCGAACACTGGTCTCCTGCATACCACCAACACCAACGCCCCCCTCCGCCCCCCACAAATGCCTGCTAAGCCCAGGTGTCCTGGCCGCAGCCAGACCAACAGAATCCGCATCCCCAGGACGGGGGGCCTTGATTGCTGAACTCCCTGCGTGGGCCGGGAGAGCTGGGAAGGTGCTCCTGTGCTCTGGGAGCCCCCCGGAGGCCACACGCCAGGCCTGCACGCACGGGGGCCCAGCAGTCCCTGGGATGAAGCTCCTCCTCTCCTGAGAGCGGTGAGTCTCAATCTTGGGTACATAACGAATAGACAAGGCCCAGACCAATTACGTCAGCATCCCTCAGGGTAGGACTCAGACATGGGGATTTTTCAGCTCCCCAAGGGATTCCAACGTGCAGCCAAGATTGAGAAAAGTGGCCAGGACCAGGAGTCCCCAGACCTGCAGCACCGTAGTCACCTGGGAACTTGTTAGAAATGCAAATTCTCAGGCCAGCCCCCAACCTCCGAAATCGGACACTCAGGAGGGAGGGAGGAATGGCCAGCCATCTGTGCTCTAACAAGCCCTGCAGGTGACCCTGGTGCGAGCTCAAGCCTGGGAACCCCTGCCCTAGAGCAGGCATCAGAAACCTTTCCCTGTAAAGGGCCAATCTCTGTGCAGCCACTACTCTGCCTCGGTGGCATGAAAGCAGATGTGGACGGCACACACTCGCACACTGTCTTCACTTGCCCTGCCCTCAAGCTGTCTGTCTGAGACACATCCTCATAAAAGCAACCTCTAGGAGCAGGCTTTGAGCCCCGACATCACCCCAGAAAAATCCTCCCCAGGATGAGGCGCACACCCCCCATGCTCCTGAAGGAAAGCTTAAACCAGCCCTGCTGCTGCTCCCCTCGGAACCCCTGCCAGCACCGCCCCAACCCTTCCCTGGCGTCTACCTCTCAATCCCAACAAAAGAAGTGGTCAAAGGTTTTCTTCAAAATAACAAAAAAGCCAGGTGGGACCAACCCTTTCTAAAACAAACACGTGGCAGGAAACAACTAACGTGTTTACAAACCACATAAAGATCCACTCAGCAATGAAGTGGGCCGGGGTATCCAGGAGACAGCAGTGCCCTTGCCCACGGACAGACCAGTCAAAGGCTCAGCAACAGGGTGACTGACTATCTCTATTAGGGCAGGGGCTGCACACAGCAGCAAACAGGGGACAGAGAGAGAAGCATATTGTCTCCAGGGCTGGAAGGCAGAGAGGCCTAGGAAAGGGCTGGTGACAAGGTCAGGGCCATCCAACCAACCAGCGAGGAGGCACCCAAGTGGGACCAGGAACCTCCAGCTGCTGCCCAGACCACCCACCAAATGACCATCGGCAAGGCCAGTAGAAAGGCGGTGAGGCCGGTCCACACACACACGCGTGCACACACATGCAAGCAAGAGCACACCAGTGCCAGGAGCCAAGTGTAGGATGGACACACCCACGCACACTTCTCAATCCCCAAGTTGTGTGATTCAGGCCACAGACTCCGATTTTGAACTGGAGGAAGCATAACAAGCCTCCGCCCCGCTCCCCGCATCCAGGCCTACACGGGCGGGTGGCGGGAAGGACACTCGGGCAGGCAGCAGGGCTCTCAGGAGCTAAGGGTACGCCTCGGGGCAGGGGGTGCCATGGCATCAGGGTGGTGACCCTGTCCATTGGGCCGGCGGGGGAGGGGCACGGTCGCCACCTCTTGTCGAAGGTGGTCCCGTGGGTGGCGAAGGCCAGGCGCTTCCGCAGCTCATTCCTCTCCCGGGTCATCAGCCGCAGCTGAATGGAGAGGTTCTCCACCTTCTCATTCACTTGCCGGTCAGTGAGCAGCGGCGGTGGGGACGGCGCCTTCCCAGTGGTGCCTGCAGGAGGACGGTGACAAAGAGAACTCGTATTCACACGGCTCCCACCAGCAGCCGGGCGCTGTTCTGGGCTCTCAGCTTGCATTCGCTCCTCACGACCACCCTACCGGTGGGTCCTGTTACATCCCCCTTTCCCAGAGGACACCGCCAAGTCAGAGTGTAAGAGGCACAGCTGGGACCAGAGCCCAGGCGGTCTGGCTCCAGCATCCACTACCTGGGCCCTGGCTGAGGACCCTGAGCGAGGTCCCCCTCTCTCCCTCCAACCTAGCTTTGGCACCTCCAGGATGGAACTGTTTTTGGCCCTGATCTTTGCATCCTTGCCTGCTCTGCTAACACCAGCTGTCACCCACCCCTGGGCACAGAGAGGCCAGCCTGAGCAAGGTGGAAGGCACGGCCCGAAGAGGAAGACACAGTTACAGCTTCCCAGAGAAGCTGGCAGAGGACAGAGGGAGCCAGCTCCAAAGCCGGGCCCAAGGGCCGTGTCCTGCCTTCCCCTGATCAGGGCTGGACACAGTTCCCTCCTCCACGCCGCCCGACTGCCTAAAGCACCTGCTCAACCAGCCCAGGTGTGCAGCTTGGAGGAGCTACAGGGAGAGCCGCCCATGGCCAAGGTAAGTGGGACGGGGTGCAGGTAAGTCCCAGGACCTCTGACTGCCCAGCCCACACCAGGCCCTCGTCACTTGTCCCTAGGACTAGACATGTCCTGAAGGGAATCGCATGCCTTATGCTATTACCAAGGAACAGTGGCCACCACCAGCACCTCTGACGAGATCCCAATCTGCTTCTAGGAAGTATGCACCTCACTCAAATGTCCCAGAAAAAGAGACAGATCCATGGTGCTTTTATAGTTAACTCCGTCCATGTGCTCCCCTGAGCCCTCTAAGCCTCAGAGATCCTCAGTGGGGTCCGAGTAACCCACAGAAGTCATCCCAGTTTATGGATGTGATCCAGAGGCGGACTCACCCCAGGGACACAGTATCTGTCTCCCCAGTAGCCCTGTAACGTGTAAAAGGCAAGACGAATGTCTTCTGACTCTGTGTCATCCTGACCGCTGCCCCCCAGCAGACCGCTGTTGGCTGATTTTCTTGTGCAAACCGAGTGTCCCCCAAGACAGGCACTCAGGTGTGGCCTTGCATCTTCCAGGAGTGGCAGGGAGGATGGAGAATTCGACACTGTGGGTGACAAGCTAGACCATGGTCTGAGGCAGGAGACTCGAGCTCCCAGCTCAGTGTTATCCAATGTCGGTATGCCAACCACTGAATCCAGTACCCCTCGAAACATGTTATTTTAAAGCCAGCACCTCCGTAACAGCCAGGATTCTTATGCTCAGGCCAGACCTCTGCGGCCAAAATGTTCTTTAAGGTGAGGCCCAGGATCACCATTTCCCCTGAGCATCTCCCTCCGTCCATGGGTTCTAGTCCACAGCCTGAGAAGCCTTCCCTCGCCCTTCCCCAAAGACCCTGGATCCTTACCCCTGCCCCCAGGAGTTCTAGAAAACAGGCTGGTTACAGCTCTGTGCGGCTGTGTAACGTCTTCCTCTTTGGCAAATGAAGGCACTTCTATGAGCTCTAGTTCGACGACGGCCATCTGATTTGCACTCACTTACCTGGCTGTCTGACATGTGGGGCCTCCTCTGGACACGTGCCTGACACCCCCTTCTGGAGAGGCCTACAACTAAAACTCGGCATCTAACCAGCCCCTGGGGGGCCCGGTGGGGGGGACACGATCTGTGGAGGACTGACAAACCCAAGACAGTGGCATGAACAGACCCAACAAGCACCCGGAAAAGAAGGATTTCAATGTAAACGTCGCAACCAACCACACAACAGCACACAACACAGATGCCCCAAGCATTAATTTAACCTTCCCAACGATCCCACAGGTGGTAAGAATATTATCATCTCCATTTTACAGGTGAGAAAACTGAGGCGCAGCAAGCTTAAGGAATCAACTTAAACTTCCACAGACAGCAAGTGGCGCCCTGGACGAGAGCCCAGGCACCCGGATTCGGAGCACGTGCTCTCTGCTGCTGTGCCTTGCGGCCTCCCAAAGACAACCATGAGTAGCACTCACTCCATGCCTGGCGGTTTACGAGATGCTTTTCATACATTATCCCATTCCATCCCCTTAAGGAAGATACTGCTGCTATCCCCATTTTACAGATCAGCAAACAAAACCTTATCAAGCTTAAATAATGGGTCCAGGTCACCAAGCCAGTAAATGACACCATGGCGTATGGGGTGCCTTCTGCCTGACCCCACGTGCCCGAGGCCTCAACCTAAAAGTTCTCAAATGGTTTGATTTTAGGGCCTCTTTACACTCTTAAAAAGGACTGAGGACTCCAAAGAGCTTTTGCTTATAGGGGTTATATCTAACAATATCTACCAGATGAGAAATTAAAACTAAAAAGGTATTTTAAAATATTTACTGATTTTAAAACAACCAAACCCGTTACATATTCACATTAAGGCTTTTCATGAAAAATTAATACACTCTCTACCGCAAAACAGAAAACACAGCGAGAAGAATGGCATGGCTTTGCATCTGCGTAATGCTGTTTGACATCGGGCTTAATAAAGACAGCCAGAGTCTCACATCCGAGCACCATCACACACCGTGGATGGAACCTGTAGGAAACTCCACTCTACAGCCGAGTCTGTGTGAGGACGAGAGTGCAAAAAGCAAGTGTCACCTCAGGATCATTATGAAAACAGTTCTGACCTCACTGGCTCCATGAAAGGACCTCAGGGACACCAGACCATGCTTTGAGAACGACTTGACCTGCGGTCAAGTTCAATAAGTATCAGAGAAACATCGGATCTCAATTTCAGAACTGAAAAGCACCACCAGGCCCAGCAATCTGCCTCCAGGGAGATAAAGAATTTCCACCCCATTTTAAAAATGAAGCAACAGAAAGATGTAGCCCTTGGCTTTTGCGGAGGCTGGAGAGAGAAGCAGCAGCAGGACAGAAGTAGGGGTCATCAGACCTGTCACCACATACAGCCACCGCCCCCTGTCTGTCTCCAGCAGGATGAGGCCACTGGCTCTGCAGCTGGTAGGACCTGGGGGCAGCCGATCACACACACAGGGACGTGAGCGCTGTCATTTGCTGAGCACAGCCTACGCGCTGGGTTCTGTGCTAAACGCACCTGGGTTCTCACTTCATTAATACCCACAGTACCCTCCCAGGTACGTGCTGTGATCACCGAGTGAGAAACTGACGTCTAGCAAAACTGCACAGCTGGGAAACCGGAGGATACCCACGCAAATCCGGCTTCACCTCCAGACCCAGGGCCTCGTCCACTACCCTGCACGGCCTCCCGACGGGAGTGGCCTCCTGTTTCCCTTCCCCTGCCCCAAAGGCTTGAGCATACACGAAACACACAAAAAGTGAGGCCGTCCAGGCCTGTGAATCCATCAAATAGCAGGTTGACTTAGGGAAACTGCTGCCTGGATACCCCTGTCCTTTCACAATAAGGAGGGCAGAGGGCAGAGGGCAGAGGGCAGAGGAGGGCCACAGGGGGCCTCAAGAAAAATCCCAAGATGTGCTAAGCCAGGAAGTTCCAAAATAACAGCAAGTGTTGCAGAAAACCCTTTCCATACCCATTCAATTAAAAATAAAGTTTCACTTGCATCTCAGGGTTGAAAAACATTTTGAAGATGATGCAGTCCTTCCAAGAAAATGGTTGCCAGAATCCCCTAAACAGCTACCAAGATGGTCTGAACTCCTGCACAGGGAGGGAGCTCACTACTTCACAGCAGAGCCCATCTCATCTCTCCCCAGGTAATTATTCTATGTACTGAGTTAAAATCTGTATTTCTCCCACTGACCCTAGATCTATCTACCCACCCAAGACCATGAGGTAGGGACTTCCCTGGTGGTGCAGTGGTTGAGAATCCGCCTGCCGAAGCAGGGGACACAGGTTCAATCCCTGATCCCGGAACATCCCACAGGCCGCAGAGCAACTAAGCCCGTGCACCACAACTACTGAGCCTGCGAGCCACAACTACTGAGCCCACGTGCCTAGAGCCCGTGATCCACAATGAGAAGCCACCGCAATGAGAAGCCCACACACTGCAACGAAGAGTAGCCCCCGCTCACTACAACTAGAGAAAGCCCAAGCGCAGCAATGAAGACCCGACGCAGCCCAAAAAAAAAAAAAAAAAAAAAAAAACAACAAAAAAAAAACAAAGGCCACAAGGTACACCTGTAATTCTTCTTCTAAACAACAGACATGCAAGTATTTGAAGACAACTGCCAAGTCCCTTTATCACTACCAGAAGACCTAAAGTAAAAAAAAAAGTGACAACACCAAATGCTGGCAAGGATGCAGAGAAACTGGAATTCTCAAACACTACTGGTGGGAATATGAAATCATACAGCCACTGCAGAAAACACTTTGACAGTCTTTTATAAAGTTAAACATGCACTTACCATACTACCCAGTAATCCCACTCCTGGATATTTACACAAAAGAAATGAAAATTTACGTTCACACAAAAGCTAGCACACAACTGTTTATAGCAGCTGTTGAATGGATAAACGACAGTGTTATATTCATACAACGGAATACTTCTCAGCAACAAAAAGGCACTATCATACAAACTACTGGTACACACGAGGGCAAGGGGAACAGGGACTCGCGAATGCACTATGCTGAGTGCAAGAAACCAGACTCAAAAGGCCACATGCCATATGTTTCCATTTACACGACATTTGGGAAAAGGCAAAACTACAGAGGCAGAAGAGAGATCCGTGGTTGCCAGGGCCTGTGGGTGGAGGGAAGAAAGGCTGACTACAAAGTCACGGACGGGAATTCTTCAGGGTGGAGGATTTGCTCTATACCTTAATTGTGGAAGTGGTTAAATAACCAATGTGCTCATCAAAACTCATCGAACTATACACCAAAAAGGATAAATGTTACTGTACGTAATTCGTACCTCACGGAACATGACTTTTAAAAAATTCTGAAGTTAAAAAAAATAAAAAACAACAACAC